AGCCTGGGTGAGGGGCTGATGGCTGTTTGCAGGCTGGCCACAACCCCCAGCCACCCAAGCTCCCAGTGGAGGCTGGCTGAAAGCAGGTATCTGGGATTTCTTTATCTTCTGTAATTGAAGCTTTGTTGCCTTTAGCAGAGGCCACAGCCGGCTCAGGGCTGGTGGGAAGCTTGGCTTCCTCCATTGCCCAGGCAACCAAGCCTCCTGCTTGCTCCAGCTCCATGGCTGCCAGCTGCCATCTTGGTTGGGTTAGTTTGCATATAGTTGCTCTGATTGGCTGGTGGGCGTGGCTTAGGGCATAGTGAAAGTATGGTCAATTAGCATCTTTGTCTTTTATTAGTGTAGATAACTCCTTGAGGGAAGTGACTCCTTTCCTTAAATCATGGTCACATGGCTCAAGCAATATGGGTAGCTGGAGGAATAAGTGCCGAAATCTTGAAGTGGGGGATCTTGGTGGTATCCTGAAGATCCATTACACCAACCTCAAACCATGCAAATTTTCCCAGGATAAATTCATACCATGTGAAGAAATAAGAAAAAACTGGATTAGTTGAAGCCAAAATAATGCACAAATAGCACTTTGAATTTTGGGGACTATTGGGCATTCCAATAATCTCAGTAATTGGGCATCATATAGGTAACTGCTGAGAGTTGAAAGACAGGATGAAGGAGTAGAGTATTGGGATTGAAATATGTTATCATCTATATCCATCTTAAGCCTGATGCACCTCCCCTCATTCTCAAACTCAGTGAAAGGCACTGAGAAAGGCTCTCCATATATGTGATCACCACAAACAATAATCTTTGACTCTTTTCTTGCCTCCATATTAGATTAATCATCATATCCCATCGACTGGCACTCTGATTTTTCTTGAACTCACCTATTCCTCTTTATATACATTGTCTAAGTTCAGGCTGTAATCGCTTTACCTGACTCATAAAAACAGTTGGTTTATTTCCCCACCTTCAATCTCATAGCTTATTTGGGCTTTTATACACTGCACCATACTTTAGCCAGAATGGTTTTTCTAGGAGGCAAATCTGGTGATGCTATGTTCCTGTTTAAAATTCACAAATGAGTACTTACTGTTGTCCTTATAAATTCCAGTTTCCTTAAATGAAATCAAAGCTCTTCCTGACCTATTATCTGCCTGCCCCACCGAGCCCTTGCTCGGCACTCCTGCTTGTTCCCTTTGGATTTAGCCTTATAAACTTGGGGGTTTCGCTCACACTAACTGTTCTCTGTGTCTTCTGAGTTTTACCTTGGCTGTTGCTTTTGCCTGGAACACTCTGTGGTAGGCAGAACATCAGCCCGCCCCAAAACATCCTTGCCCTCCCTCTGCAAACTGTGAATATGTTATCTTAAATGACGACAGGGACTTTGCAGATGTATTTAAAGATCTTGCAATTGGGAAGTTGGCCTGAAATACCAAAGAGGGCCTAATGTAATCACATGGGTCCTTAGAGAAAGGAGAGGCAGAGGAGAAATGTGATGAGGGAAGCAGAAGTGATAGTGAGATCATTTCTAGAGGGGGCTGTCAACCAAGGAATGCGGCAGCCCAGAAGCAAGGAATAGATGTTTTCTCATAGCCTCCAGAAGGAATGTGACTCTGCTCATGCCTTAACATGATCCTCGTAAGACCCATTTGAGATTTCTGACCTTCAGTACTTAAAAATAATACACTTTTGTTATTTTAAGCCACTACATTTGTTGTAATCTCATACAGCAGCAGTAGGAAACTAATACACCTCCCCTGTGGCTAAATTTTATTAATTGTTTAAGACTCAGCTAAAGCAACAATTCTGGTGTAGGGGAGTCTCCTCTATGTTCCTACAGCTAACACAATATTCCTTCTACTTCATTATGGTTATCTATTTATTCTCTCTCCCTCAACCTCTACTCCCACAGTTATACCCTGCTTGACAGCTCTAACCGTGTCTAATGTTCTTTGAGTCCCAGGCAGCAAATGCCTGGCACAAAGGCTCAGGAAAGTTATAATTCTTCTTTTGCCACTGTCATCTTGCCAGGAGGGTTCCCGATATACTTTGAAGCCACTACAGTTGACTGCGTATAGACAACCTTGTTTTCTGTTTTGAGGGCTTATGCATGTTTGGGGCTTATGCAAAAACGAAGGGGAGAGTCGTTCATGCAAGTCAGCCCAGATGAACTTAGAAGTCCCAGGCCCTTCTGGGGAGGACTCACGGGGATGTGCAGGCAGCTGATGAATGAAGGTCCTCATCTCACAGCATCAAAAAGAGTATTCCACATGCTCCCCTTCCCAGCGTTTGTACTGTGCTCCCAGCATCCTGAGAGGTGGGCTTCAGCTGGCCTGAGCAGCCCTCTACAGGCCAGTGACCTCCTCCTTTCTGGGGCCTCCAGCCTGTCCCGCCTCAGCCTTCCTCCTGCATGCTTTTCCCAATCCTCTATTCTTTTATCTCTTCTATTTTTATGGCCTAAACTTCATTATTTGCTTCCCTCAGGCCCTCTCTTCTGATTCTCTAGAGACTGTTTTAAAAATTAAAAACAAATATCCAAAATTGACTTCTCCTTAAGGCAATGTGCTTGCCTCCAGCTGACTGGGGGGGAAATCCCAAGATTCAGAAGAAAAACACAAATACTCCAAAAAAAGTATCTCGCTACATTCCAGTGTCATTATAAATAAATATTTATGAAATGAATGAGTAGTGAGAGGGGATGAAAGAGAATATGAAGATTTTGGCAGGGGAAGTATTTTTCAGCTCTAGCCTTTCCTTTAGGTTACGCCTGGTGGTCCTCGGACCACTGGTTGACAGTCACCATTTTAGAAAATCTCCAGGCTGAACATTTTGGCCTGAAACTGAATAACTTGGAAGATGTTATCAAAGGCTCTAGTGAAGAAAGCTCTGAAAAGATACAGTGTAGGTAACTCAGTCATCCACCTCTCCCATGTTCCCTTTCATGAGTCATATCCGTGCTATAATGAAAAAGAAGGTGGTTTCATTTTAAGCCTCTCTGTCCTCCTCAGCACCAAGAGCCCCTCTCTGTCTCCCCTGTCCTCTGGGCCAACACATGCTTTCTGTGGTTACCCTCTCGCACTCCTCTATCAGACCCCATGGTGACTTGATGACATCCTACTCTCTGCCAACACAGCCTGGCTGTGAAGACACACATCTCTTTGCTACCCCATCCCTTCATTCTCCACACCATGGCCACACAAGGAGTAGACATTACAGATGGTAAGATGGATTGAGTTAGCTAAAGGTAGTGACGGCACAGTAGGGAGACATCAGAAGGTCTTGTATAATAATGACCATACTCCTTCAAGAAGATCATCTTATATAAATATCTGTGATCTCCTCTTCAGGCCTCTTGGCAAAACTGGATGCTTTATACATCTACTCTTGCTCATTCCACCATCTTTCAGAGAACTCTACCCTGTATTTGAAAGGTTTAGTCTGATTTCAGATTCCTTTTGCCTAATCATCCTTACCTACTCCACTTCTATAAGACAAAGACCCATTCCCATGACTTTGGAATGACAGCCTGTCAAGTCTTCATTACATTTGTGGCTCAGTGGTTGAGCATCGGCCTATGAACCAGGAGGTCACAGTTCGATTCCCGGTCAGGGCACATGCCTGGTTTGTGGGCTCAATCCCCAGTGTGGGGTATGCAGGAGGCAGCCGATCAATGACTCTTTCTCATTGATGTTTCTACCTCTCCCTCCTCTCCCTTCCTCTCTGAAATCAATATATATGAAAATAAATAAATAAATAAATAATTTTTAAAAAAATCTTAAAGAAAAAGTCTTCATTACATTTTTAACCTGGGCCCTCCGTGTCCCAGTCTGTGTCCAGAGAAGCAAGGGGCGAAACTCCATCCTCCAGCTACATTGTCTCATTTGCAGATAACAAAAAAATCTGTGTCACTGCCAAGCCCCTGCTAATGGTTTCTAGTAGGTAATAGAAGTTGTCAAAGGGTTTCTCATCATTATCCTGGAGGGAAGGTGAAAGGGGGAGCATAAAACTGCTGTTACTCTGGTGAAATCTTTATCCTGGGGCAGTGGTGAGTGGGTGTCTTTTCTTTCTATGACTCAGGAAGGACACTTTTATTCTGAAGGTTTTCTAGCTTTGTCCCCAGAATGAATTTCCCTTATTTTCTTTACAGGTGCTAGGATTCGATGTAGAGCGAGCCACTCACGTCCTCTCCTTTTTTCCTTCCCCCACTGCCCCAAAGCCCTGTTTTTAAAGCAAGCTCAGGTCTTTCACCAACTGATGTGTCCCTGGTGGGGAAAAGTCACAGCTTTATTGATTAAAATCTTGGTATAACATCCATAATTGGAGTTTTCCTGTAATTTCGTGCCAGGTTGCCTCACCACTTTCTCTAGGGACTATATATCAAATGCTATTTTTCATGTTCCTGTTTGCTGATAAGGGCTTGAGAAAACCACCAGTTGGCCCTGATATTAGATTTCCGGAGGAAAGCAGCAGTACAGATTGCCAAGTGTCCTCAAATACACTGACGATCTGTACTGATATTTTAAAAGAAATGTATGACTGAGGGGAAAACATCTTTAGGTTTGGGGGTGTGTTTGTGTTTTCATCCCCTACCTTCAGTGTATCTTTACCCCTTGCAAACAATTTCCAGTCAATAATTAAACTTGGTAAACAGATCTACAGGGGGAAAAACCCTTCAGTTCGAGTTTAATAGATTGCCTCTCAAAGTCACTCCCTGACACAGCAAGTTGCCGAGGGAGTTTGTGCCAGTAAGTAGGAAAGAAGGGGGTTGATGAAAAAGTAAAACAACACAGAACCTGACATCCTGTTGTGAGTTAAAAAAAATAAATAAATAAAGCAAAATGACTATTAGCAACCCGTGTTGATTTCTGTCAACCTGTCTTTTTTTCTGTGCAGTAAGGACAGAGAAATAAGACAGGGCTTCTTGTCAGAGGAACTTTGGGCTTTATGGGAATTTGTGATTTTTTTTTCTTACCCTCAGACTTCTGTCTCTTTTGTTTTCTTAGGATGTTTCTCCTCCTGTGGAGACTCATGAGACACCTATTAGTCAGTCTGGAGCCTACAGGTATCGGAGCGGCTGCGGGAGGAGAAATGGGATGCTTTTCAGCCTTCCTTTCGCGTAGATTTGTTGCATGTTTACCAAGGTGGAAGGATTAGAGCCCTGGAGATCATTTGCTTTCATGAGCTTTAAACTAGAGCAGCAAAAGTTTCATGCCTTGATTCGCTTCCAACAGCTCTTTCTCTCAGCAAGGCACAGAGGAGCAAGCTGAGACCGACAGATTGCCAGCAGACTTTCCCAACAAAATTGCCCTGGCTCAGCCAGTTATCCTGGGTGGGGAGGGAGCGCTCTCCCATGTCCTCCTCCGCGCGGAGCCAGGGAGCAGCCCACAGAGCTCTAGAATCAGATGAAGCAAACCAGGTTTCTAAGTCTCAGGAATCCCAAACCCCACACCATGTGTACAGATAACTCACGGACTTCCTAACTTTTGCGTTTTGCATAGAACCTCCCTGTCAAACGTTAGTTTTCTGAAGCTTCATATAGAATAAAAAGTTAAAAAGAACACCAAAGCTAAGCACTATTTCCATTTAATGTTAAGAAAATATAAATAGTCCTAGCTGGTTTGGCTCAGTGGATAGAGTGTCCTCCCGCAGACTGAGAGTCTCAGGTTCGATTCCAGTCAAGGGCATGAACCTTGGTTTCAGGCTCAATCTCAGGGCCCCAGTCGAGGCACATGCAGGAGGCAACCAATCAATGTGTCTTTCTTACATGGATGTTTTTCTCCCCCACCCTTCTACTCTCTAAAAATCAATGGGGAAAAAAATCCTTAGGTGAGGGTTAACAAAACAAAACAAAAGAAATAGTTGTTATAGGAACTAAAAAATTTTGCTCTTCAGCACTTTATAGCAGGTACTTTCCCATATGACTGGCTCTAAAAATAATGATTTAAAATGGTTTTGAAATAGAATATAATAGAAGTTGGGATGACAGCTGCAAAACAAACAATAACCCTAAAGCTGGATTGACATTAATTCAAAATCAGGTAAAAGCAGGTAAGTTCCTTTTCCCAAATTACTTTACCTAAGAAATACAATAAGAAAAGCTAAAAGAAATAAAATTAATTTATACTCTTCATACTGACCTTCTCCCTCCCTGCCCCTCCCCTCCTGGAAATTAGGGTGTGGCTGCAGGAGTGGCAATGCCCTTTACTGACATATCTCTGTGGTAATGGACATTACACTCTGCTTTACCACGCAGTGATCTAATTCCCAAATGAACTGATTAAATGACCTTCTCCATTTTGAGCACTGGAAACAATAAAACTGTAGGAAAAAGTAAATTTTCCACTGTGAATTCACAGATTTTATATTCTTATATAAGCACAGTACTGATATCTTCAGAATAACCAACACCAGCAACTCTAAAGATTAAACCGAATTCCCATTGATCAATTCTATATTTGAACAACTTAAAATCTGTGAATTATCTATGGCCCCCCTCAACTCCAAAGAATGACTTTACCTTGTATTTCATCTTAGGGAGAAAAGATCACTTTCAAATCCTTGCCATAAAACCCTTCAAAGCTACCCAGTATTGCCCCACCCTCCTTTCCTTCCATCTGTTTAAAAAATAATGAATCTGTTATGTCTAAGCCTTCCCTTGCCTTTGCTTTAATCCCTTCTTCCTCTGCTTCTTGGCTGCCATGTAGTGTTCTTTCTCTTTTATATATATATATATATATATATATATATATATATATATATATATATATATATATATAACTGATTTTAGAGAGAGAAAGGGAGAGGGCAAGAGAAACGTCGATGAGAGAAAAACATTGATCCACTGCCTCCTGCATGTCCCCTACCAGGCCCACAACCTGGGCATGTGCTCTGACCAGGATCTCGGTGCATGGGATGATGATCAACCAACTGAGTCATATCAGCCAGAGCTCTCTTTTTTTTCTTTACTGTAAATCTTTTGTCTTTTCCAGAATCCTTTTATCAATGTTTAAACATGCTGGTATCTCTTCCATTTAGAAACATAAATAAACTAACATTAAAACTACTTTCTTAAATTGTGGCTCACTCTCCCTCCATTTACTGCCTCCCTTTCCACTTCCTTTCATAGCTACACTTCTCTCCAAAGTTGTTAGCATGTGATCTAAAGCCAAATTTGCCTCTCAACAATGGTCAGGTTGCTGTGGCAAACATGTGCAGGTTCTGATGCTTAGACATAATTAGGGCTTCCTGGCTCCTCCTCATGACCTCACTTCTAGGTGGTGTGTTACATTGAATGCAAGTCTCAGTTTGGAATCTATTTATACAAATATTTACTAGAAAAGGGGCAAAAAATTCGTTCAATCAGTCCTTAGTCGTTGTCCTTTGGCACTTGTATGTACAATTTACTCTAAAGCAGACACCAAGATAATCTGAAGGATTTCTAGTTGGATTAGGCGTTACAGCCTCATACATGGGGAGGATGAAGGAACAAATGAAGCTGCAGGCTTTAGTTAAAAGACATTAGGCCATTAAGTTTGCTGAAGTCTTTAATTTTTTTCAGGTGGAGATGGCAGAACCCATACAATTTTTTTGTTCTCCAAATATCATGAATACTACTCATTCAACAAAAGACAATTTATATCTAAGGTCCATTATACTAATTAACTATCCAGGGTAGATTGGGATAACATTTGAAGTGTTTGCCTTAGTGCTTCAGTAGTCCAGATTCCTAACTAATGTGCTAACATAAGTGCTCCCATAAGTGCTAACTAACCTCCCACTACAGTTTGACTAAAGTTAACTTACATATATACACATAAGTCACACCACTTATAAGGAGGAATTTTAAAGTATATCAGTACCTAGTTGTCTAATAGTTCTCTCTTCACCACTCACAGCTCAATCCACTCTCAGCTACCCTCTATTTCCATGTCCAATGAACTGGTTCTCTCTGAGGTCATTAATAACCTTTATGTCAAAAGAATCCAGTGTATACATTTCATTCCTCATTTCACTTAACTTCTGGTTGCATTTAGCACTGTTGGTTGCTTCCACTTTCTTAATACCACACACTACAGGTTTTCTTCCCGCCCCACTAAGCTGTCTTGGCCTCGTTGGCTGGTTCCCCAGGCAGAGAAGATGGAAAACGAGCTAGAATAGTCCATTTCTCCTGGATGACTTCCCTGGCTCACCTCATATGTTATTATCTATTGCTCCCAGCGGAAGATGATAAATGAACACAGAACCAAGCTCTGGAGTGTTCCAAAATTCGAAGTCAACTAGATGCCTAGGAACCAAGAAAGGAGTCTGAGAAAGACTGGCTAGAGTGGTAGGAGGAAAACCACCACAGAATGGAGAGCAGATAGCGTGTTTCAGGATCAGGGAAGCAGGCAACCATATTAAATGCTGCCAAGAACTTACAAAGATGAGGTCAGAAAACGGTTCATAGAATTAACAATGTGGAGTGTGTTGCTGGCAGTTGTGACAATATCAGTGCTCTGATTGGGGGCAATGAAAGGGAGATAAGAATGTGAGAATTTCATTTAAAAAGTTTTCCTGCCGAAACCGGTTTGGCTCAGTGGATAGAGCGTCGGCCTGCGGACTGAAAGGTCCCAGGTTCGATTCTGGTCAAGGGCATGTACCTGGGTTGCGGGCACATCCCCAGTGGGAGATGTGCAGGAGGCGGCTGATCGATGTTTCTTTCTCATCGATGTTTCTAACTCTCTATCTCTCCCCCTTCCTCTCTGTAAAAAATCAATAAAATATATTTTTTTAAAAAGTTTTCCTGTGACTTTAAGCAAATAAATAGAGTGATGGTTGAAGGCAGATATACGATCTAAAGAGATTTTTTTTCAAACATAAGCAAAACCAAAGCATGCTTATATGCTGATGGGAAAGAGCCAATAGAGAGGAAGAAACTGATGATGTAGTATAAAAGAGTACTAAATCCTAGAGGAGATGAAGGGGACAGGTTTTACAACACTAATAGAGAGAGACTGGCCCCTTATAGCAACAGGGCAGAACTTCTAATGAAATAAGAGAGGAAAGAGAAAATGGTTAACTTTGTAATTTTAGAGGTGGGATGAATATAGATCTAGTTGTTTTTAAAACTACTGGGATCCTCAAATAGCTAGAAGGGAAAAGTTTTGTTTATGTCAAAATTGGGTGTAGATAACTTGTCAAAATGTTGGGGGTAGACTGCTACATGTAGTCCTGGGGAAAGATTTTCTTTATAATACAGGGTGGGGCAAAAGTAGGTTTACAGTTATTCATATGGAAAATAATACAATAATTAAAATAATGTTACAAGAATAAACTTTCTCATACAACTGTAAGCCTACTTTGCCCCACCCTGTAAAGAACAAAGAATATCAGGTGTGTGTGTGTGTGTGTGTGTGTGTGTGAAGGGTGTGAAATGGTCATAGATTATGGATTCTGACATGGCTGGGTTAAGATATGCATGTTGTCATTATTTTTAAAAAATCACATTTTGCTGCATGATTTGAAAGGTACCTGTTTCAATGGAAGAAAATAAAGATGATAGTAATAAATAACTTTTGATTCAATAAAGTCACTTTAACTGCGAAATAAAAATGATAATATGGTGATACCATGTTGATTGATTGACAACCAACCTCCTGTTCAAATAAGAACAACCCTCAAAGCGGAGTGTAGGCTGGTTCTAAAAGGAGCATGCGCCTTGCTATGCCTGTGAAAACTTCCACTCAAAAAAATGCAGAGTGTTTTGCAAGTTTGTGAACAAGTGGTTCTGCTACAAAAATCACTCCTGTCATCACATAGGATTCTCTTGAAGAAATGCTTTTTGAAGAGAAATTAAAAATATCAAGTGTCATTGTCCACTCCACTAGTTAAACAGTCTCTGGCAGCTTCCTGCTCTTAACATTTAGATTGTTCATTTTCTACTTAAATAGAAACAATGAACTCTTACTTGAAGTTTCCCAAAACACGAGGCTTCTACTACCATTTGGGAGAAATGGAGCCAGTGTTTAGATTGTCACGCATTGACTTCCACTAAAGTATTTATTCTCAAAGGTAACTAGATATTCATGTTACTACTGCCTTTCTCTAGAAACTGAAGCCTCCCAATCATAATTATAGGCTTAGAGCAAAGGCAACAGTAGGGAAGAAACTGAGAGCTCTGTAAACATTACTGGAGAACCATGTCAAATATATGCATAAATTCAAGTATGCGGAAGCTCTAGGCTTAGAGGTCTTAAAATGATATTTGAAGAGTCTTTCAAAAAATAAGGTTTTATAAGGGCTTTTAAAAAATCTGTTTGTTTTTCAAGGAAGTTTTTAGCCTGTCTGGTTGTGCAGATAATCTTCCATCCCTAAATCAATGCCTTGCTGTTTTGTTAAGTCCATGGCCCACTGGACTGAAACAAAAGGTGCGAAGTTCTTCTCATCCATCTTAATGGGGTGTTAATGACTGTAGAGACTGACTGTGACCATTTAAATGTGAGCACTATTAATCACCTAGAAAAAACACAAACACCCAGCTAGAGCCACTGAAATGTAATTGCAAGGGACAGTGAGGTTCAATTTGTGTTTGAATGAAGAGTAGTATTTTAAAACAAGAAAACAAAAAAAACATGAGTTGCCCTCATGCCAGCTTGGCAGATTTAAAGCTCAGCCAACAGGCAACAAACAGCCTTCTAGCCTTTTATTGAGATTTAAAGAGCTGGCTTCTCCCATGAACTTGCAGTCTAGCTGTTCTGCATCCAGTGAATAATTTTACCAGCGTGTAAATTTCTACCAGGCAGTCATTTGCTAAGTGATATTTCCTTATGAGAAATTTTCATATATCCTTTGATTTGGAAGTGTGTGTGTGTGTGTGTGTGTGTGTGTGTGTGTGTGTGTGTTTAAAGTGCTTCAGAAATATTTACTTCCAAGGTTTTAAATAATTACCTACTTCCACACCTTGTTTCCTCTGACTCTTCTTGCAATGGCTTGGTCATGTCCAGACTGTTGTTTTTCTGAGGTTTTTG